TTGTCCAGGGTGAATGTGCCAACTTTGTGCGGATGATAGAGCCGTGGAACCGCACCCACCTCTACACCTGTGGAACAGGGGCGTACCAACCTATCTGCACATTCATTAACAGAGGCTGGAGGGCAGAGGTACACACAAAAACATTTACAGTTCCCCTAGTGGGACTTACCGCAAAAGTCCCTCAGCAGTAGGCCTGGAAAGCGTTGTCCTGCTAAATATTTTAGTACTACAAACTGGGACACTGATTTGTTTATGATTTCCCCATGCTCCCTCACGACGTTTTAGCAATCTATTTTTATGCATACTTTCCCTCTGCAGGACTACCTGTTTAGGCTGGTCCCTGGGTATGTGGATTCAGGGAAAGGAAAATGTTCCTACGATCCCAAACAGGAGAACATCGCAGTTCTGATCAGTAAGACATGCTTCATTTATAGGCAGAAAATACACAAAACCTTATCAGATTCCCCATGCTACTGAATCACAACATCTCACCTTTTTGTTCTTTTATTGCCTTCCCTCTGCAGATGGAAACATATACGCAGGGGTCCATATTGACTTCATGAGTACAGATGCTGCTCTGTTTAGGACCATGGGAGGGAGAACAGCAATCAGAACAGAGCAGTATGACTCCAGGTGGCTCAATGGTGAGTAAGTGTGGGTGTGAGGAGGTAAATGTTTCTGATTACAGGTTATGGCTTCTCTTCTTATTTGGCAACCACTTGCCTCAATCCTCTCTCTGCTTATCTGTTTTTATCCTCTAGAGCCTGTGTTTGTTCAGATCCAGCAGATCCCTGACAGTGCAGAAAGGAACGACGACAAACTTTACTTCTTTTTCCGTGAGAAGAGTCTAGACTCGAGTGGTGGGGCGAGCCCCAGCGTCTTAGCCAGGGTGGGAAGAGTGTGTCTGGTGAGCAAAATCGTACATGGAGTGAAAATATATGCAGCTTACCTTGTAATATGAAGCGCATTCTGCGTATTGAGCCATGACCCAATTTCCTTCCTGTCTAGAATGATGAAGGAGGGCAGAAGTCCCTGGTGAACCGCTGGACGACGTTCCTGAAGGCTCGTCTTATCTGTTCAGTGATAGGAGAAGATGGAGTGGAGACACGATTTGATGAACTACGTGAGGCCACAATAAAATAAGCACTGCTTTTAAAGTGATAGTATTTTAATTGCATCTCTTTTTATCATTGTGTTATTGATTTCGTATCATTCCTCTTCCAGGCGATGTGTTTATTCAGCCCACACAGGATGAGCGAAACCCTATGGTGTACGCTCTCTTCACTACAGCAGGGTGAGTTTTTTTTTTTTGTCGGTTGATAAATTCCCAAGTCATCCCACCTTTTTGTGGACAATTAATGCTTTTAATTTCAGGGATAAGATGCAAGCTTTCTCCTACTTCTGCTTCTTACCTTAATTGTCTCTTTCTGCTCAAGCTCGGTGTTCAAGGGCTCAGCAGTCTGCGTTTACTCAATGGCTGATATCCGTAATGTCTTCAATGGACCCTTTGCCCACAAGCATGGCCATAATTACCAATGGACTGAGTATACTGGCAAGATTCCCTACCCACGGCCTGGAACAGTACGTATCTGTTATATTATAAATAAAAACTAAATTTGCATCAATAGAAAGTTACCAAATTATTTAAACATCTCCCTTCCCATCCAGTGTCCAGGAGGAACCTTCACTCCTGGTATCCGTTCCTCCAAGAACTTTTCAGATGAGGCTGTGAATTTCATCAGAGCTCATCCCCTCATGTTCCATCCAGTTTATCCTATCCACCGCCGCCCCCTGGTGGTGAGAACCGGCGTGGACTACCGCTTCACTGCGCTGGTGGTGGATCAGGTGGATGCTGTGGATGGACGCTATGAGGTGCTCTTCCTGGGGACAGGTGAGACAACTAAAGGGCTGATGACTGGAGGATTAGTTTGGCAAGAAAATCTCGTAAAGGTCATAAATATAATTCCTCTCGCTTCCAGATCGAGGCACTGTCCAAAAAGTTATAGTTTTACCTAAGGATCCAACTAGCATGGAGGAACTGACACTAGAGGAAGTGGAGGTTTTCAGGGTATGTCTAAATATGTGTTCCTGAAAAGGCAAAAATACTTTGAACTCAAACACAAAGTCTTATTGATTAATCTTTTTGCTGTTTATAATTTACAGACTAGAGCTCCAGTCAAAACAATGAAGATATCCTCTAAAAGAGTAAGCAAATTCAAGACAATAAAGACAAATCAAAGATAAAAGATTGGCATTTCAGTGCTTGTACCACAACAGACTCTTCACAGTCTCACTGAGTTTATTTTGCTTTTGTCACCACAGCAACAGCTGTATGTGTCATCAGACGCGGGGTTGACCCAGGTGTCCCTGCACCGCTGTGGTGTGTATGGCAGGGCCTGCTCGGACTGCTGTCTGGCTCGAGACCCCTACTGTGCCTGGGACGGAGAGAGCTGCTCTGCCTTCACCCCGTCGACCAAGAGGTCAGGACCATCTTGTATGTTCGCAGTGCACTGTTTCAAGATTCAAAGGAAGTGAACTTAATTCTTAATTCTGACCTTTACTCAGGAGGAGCAGAAGACAGGATGTTAAACATGGTGACCCACTGAGGCAGTGCAGAGGCTTTAATGCTAAAGGTGTGGCAAACATTTTTTGGCATTTAAAGATCATGAATATTACAAATTTTGTTATGTTTTGAGCAGTTGTCACCGTTTCATCTCTCTATCTCTGCAGTGGAGAAACGTCTGCGAGAAATAGTGCAGTTTGGGGTGGAGGGCAGCAGTACCTTCTTGGAGTGTCAGCCCCGCTCTCCCCAGGCCACCGTCAAGTGGCTCTTCCAGAGGGATGGAAAGAGGAAATTGGTGAGGAAGAACAATTAAAGGAATAGTTTGGGGACATAAGACTATTCACTCTTGCAGAAAGTTAGACATGAATATGGATACCACTCTCACAACAAATACAAGTCTTGTTGACACTGTGAGGTTGCCAGGTAACAGGCAGACACCAAGAGTCATTGTGTCCAGCCAAGAAATAATCAGCCACATACATCCCCCTGAAACTCCAACATATTGTTCTTACACTTCGGTTTTTGAATGGATTAAACAAACAATATGTAGCAGGTGCTGGTTGGCAGAGTTCATTACCTTTGGATAGAGCCAGGCTAGCTGTTTCCAATCTCTATGCTAAGCTAAGCTAAGCTAAGTGTATTTACAGTACAGATATGAAAGTGGTATCAAGAAAGCGAATAATCAAATTTCCCAAAACATTATTTTGTCTTTAAGAGCATCAACCCCCTGCCCTCTTTGTACTCTGTATACAAATTTAAATACTAGACTTTCACTTTCCTGTTGTTTAATTTTTTTTCTGAAGCTCAACCGTGTGGGAGGTATTCTGAAGACCAACCACGGTATCCTCCTGAAGTCTCTCAACCAATCAGATGCGGGGCTCTACCACTGCCTTGCCACTGAGAACAACTTTAAACACACGGTGACCCGTGTGGCGCTGCGCATCCTGGATCGAGACATCGTTTTAGCTCTCACTGCACAAGATGAGGACGACGAGCCAAAAACTCGCCAAGTGGGACCTTATACACAGTCATCCCTCGTCTCCACACCCTTCCCCCCGGAGATTAGACTGATTAACCAGTACTGCCAGTCCTACTGGGAACAACTCAGTCCCAAACAGCAGCAGCAGCGCAAGCGCACCAGCCGCAGGCACACAGAGAGCCAGGACCAAGGCCTCGGCTAAAGCACTGGACTGATGTTGTCCAACACTGGCCTGTCTGGACTTTATGGTGGACTTTTATGTTTGACATGCATGTTTGTGTGTCACCTCCATTCATTAGGCAGGTGATGGTGCCATGCTGTCATTAAAGTACCATATTGGTGGTTTTGCAAGCGTCAAACTAGAAAATACAAATTGTGTTTATTTTACATTACCAGTGACCACTAACGTACATTTTTAGATCGATTTTCTATTTCAGGTATCAGTTCCTGTTGACATTTGAATCAACTTACAGAATTATTTTCAAACTTCTTCTTCTTGTTAAGTTCAGGTGCTTTCGGGAAACCCCAGTGTCTGTGACTTGAGGATCATGGTGGAAGATCAGTGTTTTTAGTGCAAGAAACAAATAAAAATTACCAAAAAAAACTTTTTAATAAAATAATAATAAATAAAGAGGAGTTTTGGAAATGCAGCTGGATTGCAATGCAACTATAAAAGTAACAAAGACCGTTCAATTTGAATGATCATTTTAGAAGATGGTAAAATGTGATGTAAAGTATATGCAGCATGTAGTTAATAGGCTTCAACATGCAAAACCACAGATATGGTACTTTCAAGTATCTTGAAACAGAAATGTAATATATTGATTGTGAATATAATATATATGGTCATGATATGGTCATTGGATTACTCTTGTATGAAGATAATATGATGAATGCATATGTTGCATGCATAACTGTTGTTTGTTGCAAGTTGTACATTTTACTGTTGTTCTGTTTTCAACCTTGGTGTGTATTGATGTTCGTAAGGTGTAATGTATTCTGTTAAGCTAATTCCATTGGATGTTGTCATATAATGACTCCCTTACTGTCCTGTGCTCTAGTGACCTACAGTATGTGAGTGTTGAAGATATGTATAGCGTACAGTGTTCTTCCAGTTATGCACTTTGTCGGTGGTGGTATTCGAGGGAATTGGGGATCTTTGCACAGATGTATGAGAAAATGTTACAGGAACATAATGTTTTTTATGTACAGTATGTTATAAAAACGGGAATGAAACCGGCTCATTTTAGTATTGATTGTTGGTGTTCTGTCATATGCTGTGTTTACAATTTTTCAAATTGGTCTTTTTAAAGGAAGCACAAAGAACAAGACATTTTCCAGCCAGAGCCACCATTCACCTTCATTGTGAGTAACACAGTGCTATATGCTGTCATGCTGATGAACCCTACACTGGAAATGTTCAAACAAATATATAAACATTTCAGAAGACTCTTAAACTTGTGTTATTTCACTTCCAAGTCTTTTATTATTTGTTTATAAAATGATCCACACACAGTTTCAGTGTGTCTAAACACATGTAACAGTATTTATTGCAAGTGAGAAGTCTGTAACTAAACTCAAACTTGAAATAAGTTCAAAATCCATTACTCAGTCATCCCATTCGTCGTCGTCTTCGTCATCATCTCCGCCCTCATCTTCACTTTCATCTGAAAGAGAAGACAAATATATTTATAAGATGTGAGACTTTTTTTGGGTAATTTGGTTCCAACACACTTGTCATGTAGTTTGGAATTAATGTTCTAATATTTACCAGAGGAATGGATGACTTTACTCCTCTTCTGCATGACCATCATGAGAGCACCAACGATGCCCTCACTTGACTCTGGTGTTGTTGGCGGGGCTACATCAGGACTGTCTGTCACCTATAACACACACCAGGAGAGGACAATGATGTATTGCATCATGACACTCGGAAATTGTGAACTTATATATAGCATGTATTAAATGTTTTTACGAAAACGAAGTTGCTTTACATTTCTGAGCTTCTTCCCCAGTCTGATCTGATCCAGCAGTGCTCCTCTGCTTTCTCCTTTTCCAGAAGATGGGGGAGGAGGTGGTGGCGGGCCACCAGAGAGAGGCGGAGGAGGTGGGAAATCTGAAGAAATTGAAGTTTGGGGAGGTGGAGGTGGAGGTGGTGGGGGAGGAGGGGGGGGGGCGCCTCCTCCACCTCCTCTGCTGGGTGTAGACGGGACAGGAGGAGGTGGGAAACCCATGGAGCGCTGTTGGCTGGAGGGCGGCGGGGGAGGAGGCAAGTTGTGGGAGGAGGGGGGCGGTGGGAAATTAGAGGATTTGGAAGGCGGTGATGGGAAGTGAGAAGGTGAAGAGTGTGCTGGTGGTGGTGGTGGTGGTGGACCGCCTCTGCTTGATGGAGGAGGTGGTGGTGGCACGCCTCCACGTGCTGGAGGTGGCTGGTGGGATGGGCTCCCTCGCTGTGATGGGCCTGGGATGGGAGGCAGGGGACCAGAGCGGCCTCGAGGAGGTGGAGGGTTTGGAGCAGAGTGACTGGAGCCTGGCACAGGAGGCAGAGGCCCTTGTCTGCCAGGTGGAGGAGGTGGAGGTCCACCAGCTGTAATGCAATGGAACAAGACATGCATAAGAATTCAGCCTAAGCTTTAGCTTATTACATTAGCCTGCAGGGAGATTAATAAGGAGGAACAAAGTGTGAATCTAACCTCTGTTCACCTCCCTTTTGACCGCCTCCATGCCTCCAGACTGCTCAATGACATTATAGATGAGCTGGGAAGTCTGTTCATCCATCATCTCATTTTCACCGATCCCAGCTTGCGACAGCAAATTCAACAGGTCTGGGTCAATATTGTTTGGATCCCAACCGACATGAGAAACATGCCTGACAGAAAGGAAAAAAAGGAGAGCATGACACAGTTACAAATAACAACATCCTCTCTAGATATTAACCAAACTTCACTGCTTGACATCGAGGCAACACATTCAAAACACTCACTTAAATCCACTGGGTGCCCCTATGTCTGCTTTGGAGAGTTTGAGGCCCTTTTTCTTCTTATCCTTCTTGTCCTTCTTTCCTTTGCTGGTCACAACTAAGGGAGCAGCAGGTGAAGGCATGGAGCGGTAGCGTGAAGATTGGATATCTGGGTTTTGGATGTCCACTGTTGCCATGTGAAAAGAACCAGGGCTGCCAGGTGATGCTTTTGGAGGAGATACAGAGCACATGAAGAGTGGTGTTTTATTACTGTTAAATTCCATGTATATTGGTGGTTGTAAAAGTTACAGTAGAAACATGCTTAGATCAAAGATATACACACCATTTTGAGATGGGACTGGAGGTAGGGAACCTCTTTCTACAGTAACCAGAAACAGGGGACGAGGAAAGGAATATTATTAATCTTATGGTTTGCTCCTGAATACAATTATACAGAGATTAGATGTATTGCTATCTCACCATTAGGCGGCGGGGGGCGCTGTTTCTTGTCTGTCAATAACAAGGAGGTGAGAGAAACCATTTTGCGTCACATCACCACACCATAATACAATATTTATTCAGCTAAAATACACAGTTAAAAACAATTGCTCAAATGACGAAGAAAGAAACTTTTTATGAATTATTAATATTAATCAATCCATTAGTTCCTGAGAATGTATTATAATTTGTGTTCAATGGATACAGGAATCTCTTGATAAGGACTTAATTGTAATAAGTTTTAGATTTTTGCAAAGATCAACCTCATTTAAGTTGATTTCAATATTTTTCCAGTATTATATTGCAAATAATATATTAGCCCATAAACATATACAAAACATACTGCAGTTGCAAATATGTTTGAAATAAGAAACATTTAAAAAAAGATAAACATCAGGGTAGAAGCACTGATCTCTCTGACCTTGACGGTTGTGTCTTTGGTTGATTTTATCGATGACAGCATTTTGGAAAGCTTCTGCTTCCTGTTGCATTGCAAAGTTCAGTCCGACTTGACAGTCCTGCAAACAGGGAACAAACAAGGAACCACATAAATAAAAACAACAAAAAAAACAGGACTATAAAGATTTGATATTTTTAACACAAATTATTTTAGTGCACCACATCATAACTTGACAACAACAACAAGTTGGAGGAAGAGGTCAAATGAGGTTGCTTACGTCTGCAGCAAAGGTGTGAAAGTACGGCTGTGGTGAGGAGTAAACAATCTGGTTATAGAGCTCCTGCTCCCAAACGTGCCTCCCTGTCTGTGGAAAAACATGATAAATATATCAATCCCTCAGTATTACTCATGTAAAATGTAAAATGTAAGTAATCTTGTGTCATAGTTTAGTAATTCTTCAATACACAGGACGACATTGGTTAGATCATCAGTCCAAAGAGGGCCTAAATATACTTCAACAGCCATCTAATTAGACTCTTAGCATGACTGCAGCATTGTTACCTTCAAATCAAACATCCGTATGAAGTAGGAGCGCTGAGGGTTGTCTTTGACGAAGCAGACTACTCCAGTATGCTGCAGGCTCCATGTGGATGGACTGTGAGGCAAAGCCATAAACAGCTGTGCAACTGCAGTGGCCACGGACTAGACACACAGACAACACATACATTGAAAACAGTTCAGTGCTGATAGGACACTTGAGAGCATTTTATTGCTTCTGGATGTAAATGTGCAGTTATGTGGTGAGGATTCACTTCCTTGTCTGCTTTCATTTGTTCAGATAACAATTTGAAGTGCTGGAATGCTATAAATTTGTCATAAGTCGTTTAAATGTGCAGCCGATGTTTTTTTTTTGTTATGATAATCTGACACAACTTTCTTTAACAGTTTAAAGAAGGTCAGGAATGAATCAACTTCCACTCTACAGTTAGACTAGGCCTGGTGTCTAATTCTGACACCAGAGGAAGAAACAGTTAAGCCACCATTTCCTGTTACAGCTACCTCCTTTTTGATGACCTAATGTCAGCAAGTCATTTTAAACTGCGTTTGCATCAACGTACGGTTGTTTCCTTTGCCGAAAATGCCAAAATTAAGACTTGAATTCAAGTTTAGCTGAACATATTAACAAATAAGGAGGATGTAAACAAACAAACAAACAACAAAGCAACTCAGAAAAACAGTCAAACTACAACATGGTTGTTAGTTAAGATGAATATACAATGTAAAAGTCTTCGACTCAAGGTTCAACCACCAACTGTGCTCATTACAATTCAGGACATGATGTTTAACCACCAAGGTCTCGCAGGACTGAAAAAGTTTTTACATAGCAATAAGAACAACCTGTACTATATTTGTTAGCTTCTCTTTTCACTTTTACAATAAACTCTTCCATAAGAAAGGAACAGGACTAAAACTAAAGCAGGTTATCTTTCTCACAATGAGCAATCCCCTCCCTGGCCAGTTCAGAACTTACAGCACACCTTCTGCCCAACAGCTCCTCCAGCTTCTCATTCTCCTGTTGGTTCAGCAGAGAGCTCTGGATGCTGTCCAGTTTAGATTTAGATCCACGGCTCATGGTCTTCTCATAAGTCTCCCAGTTTATCTTAAATTAATGTGTACAGCATTTGAAAAAGCGTCCTCTCTACACCGTCAGAATACTAAACTCTACAGTAAAGGAAGTTTCTCTTCTCTGTTCTGTGCACACATCAGAGCCGGAAACGGCCAACCACACTTCTCTAACCCCCACTTTTCTTCTTTCCCTCTTCACGGAGCAGAAATGAATGTGTTACTTCCATTTTCATAGCAGAGGCAGCACACTATTGCTCTCCTCCTGCTGTGAGTATTTTACACAGATGTATGCTTAGTGTAGTTAACATTTTACTTGCATTAAAAAGCTACTCAAAACATTTATACAAATGAAATACATATTTTATTGACAGATAACAACATTCAAATTAATTTAAAAATGTACAGGATGAATAACAAAGTCAAAATATCTTTTAGTCAATTTTTCAAGACAAAAAAAGAAGAGTCATTTTAACTTAAAAATCTTATATTATTCACCATACTGAACAGTTTTTGGGACTGCTAAAACAGACACAGCAATTTTAACACTGGATTTTTTAAATATACAATTGGCCTCTGCCAAATGTGGTAAAAAAAAAGTGTGTTACCCCCTATTTAGATGTGACAGAATAGATACAGTCTTTGGTTTGCAGCTGAAGGTTTTCTCAGGAATACTTAAAAAGTTAGATATTGTACAAACTACCTTTCTGTGTCTGTTGACTCACATGTGATTGTCAGTAACTGTCTGTTTGACCTTCATGGATAGCAGCTGAACACCACAAATTATACTGTATCTTATTATACAGAAAAGGTCACCTCGGACTCAGCTAGTGATGTTAAGTGGCAAAATAGATTAACAAAATATCACATTAAGAACATTATTTAATCTCCATGTAAAATTCGTTGAAAATAGATTGGAATGGTTAGTGTGGACGTGCAGACTAACCCTCGCTGATCATACTTGGCTGAATCTGTGAAATTCAGGGATACTTGGACAACACTGCACCAACACATTTAAAGTCCTAAATGTGTAATGAAATAGCAACTGAAGAATGAACAAACTGAATTTTGTATTTGTATTATTTTTTTTGCATGATAAAAAGCAAAATCCTGGGAAATGACTGCTCTATGGTATCAAATTTCTGTCCTGTAAAGGGAGGGAAGTAGATTGGACGGATTTTGGCAGTGACTGAGCTATTCCACGGAACTGTACACATCCATACTCTAAAATGGGATTTCCATTTGAGTCATTCTTTTGCCATTCATCTTTTTTTTGCATTTCTACACATGCCTCCAAACAACATCCTTTACTGAGATGCATGACATAGGTTTTGTTCAGTCAGAACACACTGCTGTGTATTCTCATGCTTCTGTGTTCTCTCCTCCATTACAGGGCCTTTTGTTCGCCCCATCACATGTCAAAACACTTTCTTTTTTGTTTTGCGTTTAAGGGTCTTCACATATCCTTCGTCTTGCGCAGCCATATTTTCTGTTTGGCTGAGAACTCTGCAGATCTGGGGTAATTTAATGTCAGGGAGAGCTTTGGTTGGCATTCTGTTCGTAGGTTCTCTGTTCAGTCATGGTGGCTAGTGTCCGCCTCCGCTTCGGCTCTCTCCGGTCACCCAGTCAATGATGATGAATGACAAACTCATGATCATGAAGATGAATCCCAGCGCAGCAAAGCATGCAGCCTACAGGAGTGAAAGGAAAGAACAATCTGTATCAACAACACATTAAAACACATCGAAATTTAAAAGACCAAGATAAATGCATAGTATCCCTGATAGCTGAAGGAACCGAGCTGTACCTGAATCTTGGGTCTGGACAGAAAGGGCTCCTGTTCTTCAGGAACGATTCGGACATAGAAGATTCCAGGTAGGATGAAGATGAGGCTGGGGGCAGATGTGGCTCCTGTAGACGAAGGAGGTAAACAGAGAGAAAGTGAGTTTATTTAAGGTTGTACGTGGTAAGTGATTACACAGTTTACAGATGACATAGTTCACACTACAAACTTTGCAGTTAAGCCCACACCATATGGCCATCCTTCTTGTGTAAACATACCGATGAGGCCAAAGATGTCACGGATGGAGGGCACGAAGATAACAAGTAGGTTGACCAAGAAGAGGAGACAAAATGCAATAGTGATGTGTACGGACCAGCGGAAAGGCTTGTCAGGGAACAAGATCTGGAGCAAGGCCCTGCGGATCTGCAGAGGGATGGAAGGAAAGAGTGAGAATGTCATGCTGCTTCTTTAAAAAATATGATCACAGGCATCCAGGTTGATAAACAAATCTATATGAAAGTGAAAGTTGAGCCTGCTTTGTCACCACAGGTAACCTTAGAGTGTTATAGAACTACTGTTGAGAACCTGTTAGGTAAGGTATTGTCTGTCGCCATGCAAATTACCTGCATCAGTATGGATTTGAATGTGACTGTGGAGTGAAACCAGAAGTGCAACAAAGCAAAGTTCCAACCTACAGAGTGACATTTAGCAGCAGCATTCCTGTGTCAGTTCAATAGGAAGCTGGTTAGCTAAGCTTAGCATAAAGACTGGAAACTAGCCTGGCTCTGTCAGTGGCATACCACTGTCTCTAAAGCTCACTACAGGCAACTAGTAGAGACTCTGGGAAGTCCCTGCTCTGGGAAAATACATAGTCTGGCAAATAACCCCCCATAAATCAGTGACTTGTCATTATTTAAACTTCAGCTGAATTGAACAAATGGGATGGTAGACAAATCTTTTAACCTTTGGACAGAGCCAGGCTAGCTGTTTAGGTTTACGACAACAGTATGTATTTAATGTTTTTTTTTTCTTCTCTTCAATTCCTTGATATGTGGATGTTTTCGGTGTAATTGTCAAAAACTGACTCTGGTCATTTTATCATCTATCTATCAAAGAATTTTATAAAGATTCATGCAGTCAACACACTATTGAATCAGCTGGTTGCTGAAGTTTCAAAACATTGCACGTGGCGTATCCCCTGGTGTAAATCTGGGTCCACTTCTCTTAAGTCTCTACCACTAGCTACCACGTAGTGGTCATCCATACTTTACAGAAACTTTTGTTATAAGGAGGTTTCACAATAAAGTAGAGAGAATATTCAATATACAGTATGTGTGTATGTATTTTTTCCAAATTTCATTGTTTATGCATTCTTTAAAGGCTGCAATTCCTAATTAATTATTAATAAATTATTTACCCAATAAAATGTCAAATAGAATAAAATGCCCATTACAAGTTCACACAGTCCAAAGTCTACCCAATAACCCAAAATCCAAAGATATTCCATTTACTTAAATATTAAAAAATATTCACATCTGAGAAGCTGGAACCATTTTGGGTTTAAAAAAAAAACAATTAAGTAAAAACATAGCTGATCAATCCATTTACCAAAATGTAAGAAATATTGTTTTCATTCTTGCTGTTTTTCATATAAATATTCTCACTAAGATAAATGTTCTTACCGGGAAAAGAACCACAGGGACAGTCAGAGTAACGGCTACCAGCACAGCCAGACGCACGCAGAGAACCAGGACATCCAAGGGGTCCACTCGACTGTAGGTGTGCAACAGCTCGGACTCAACAGCACCTACCCACAGAGAAGTAGATATCCCTTGACATTTCTCATGTGGTCTAGTCCCTCATTCACATCACTTGGAAACTGGGTACAAGTAGGTCATTCATTTGAAAATCTTGCCATTCACAACATCAAAACAAGGTGACCGTTGACTCTCAGGAGTAGAGAGTATCTTACCAAAAAAGGTGAGGTAACCAAAAAGAGCCGTCAGCAGGTACATGACAAACATGGCCATGATGGAGATGTTGGCAACAGTCTGCATACGTTTCTTGGTGGCACTAAAGCACAAGGAAAGCAGAAAAAATATATTGATTGGATTAAAACTTTTCTCTGTGAACAAAATAAGGAACCACATTTGGGTTTTTGTGAAATGGACGCTAATATTCTGACTTACTCTCGCAGCTCAGTGTAGATTGGTAGCACCTCTGGGTGGCAGACAAAAGCAAAGGCCAGAATTGGGATGGTGTATGCTGTCTAAAATCCAAACACACCAAAGGTCAGTGAATAACCCCTCCAAATATTACTTGACTAAGACTGAACAGAAATCCAAGTCGAGCGAGGAACACACACTTGTTTTACACTGCTGTTGACATAACACGCCTCAATGCTGTTGACATAACATGCTCTAGTACAGAACATGGGGCAGAGAACCTGCTGTGCTAACCAATAAATGAATATACAGCTGACGATTCAGGAAACTATATGCAGGCAATGTTGAAATGCTTTCCACTGACCTGTGAGTTGGTGGTAAATAGTTTGGCCTTACAGAAGTCGTCATTAATCGTCCCATTAATGACAGTGTGGTGATCAGCTATAGGAGTTACGTTATGATGTTCATCTCCCAGGGGACATGGGATGTTGAATTTCTTGTAGATAACCTGAGGAGACACACCCATTAGTTAATCAAAGATAAATATTTAACAGTGGAACATTCTGTAGTATTGTGTGCATATCTTTTGGGCTCAAGACTCACTGAAATTAGGAAGAACACCATGCAGGAGAGGGAGAAGCCACTTGTATAGCCCAAGTAACCTGTGTTGCAACGATAAAAAGACGATGCAGAGTGATTTATGGTTGAAGACAGATGCTGATAACGTTAATTTCAGTACAGGACATGGAAGTAAACGCAACAAAAAAGGGTAGTGGAGACATGATGTATACATGGGAGAGTATGGGGAATCAATAAAACGTGACGACAGAATGAAAAACATACCAAGTTGTTTCATGAGTGCAAGAGGAAGAATGATGACAGCGCTAACAATGATGATCAAGTAGTTTCCATTCAAGAACCACTCTCTAAGAGACAGTCAGACAAACAGATGAAAAAATCAGTAAAAAAAAAAAAACCTACTGAACTACATGTGAATCACTGTCAGAATATCACTCTGACACTCACCCTGTGTTTTCGTGTTTACTTAGGAACGCTTGAATAACCAGTGGGAGCTCAGACTTGACGATGAAGAGGTAGCTAGACATTGCTAAAAGGAAGTGAAAACAGTATTATTTTGTGTTACTTACTTATGCAAATTTAATCTTATCTGATTAAATGCACATGCT